ATCCATGTGTACTGCAACCCCCCTTTCCTCTGTTCGCGCTTCGAAATTTTGGACCAAAATTACACAGAAAGTGTATATAAAAATATGTGTCAAATTTCAAACAAATATCTCTAAAATATGTAGGTATACGCAATAACCGAGGGAATAATATTCGACAGTAGTCACTCATTTGTTCAACTGTTCAGCGGTACTTATTCGACTCTGGCAGCTGCCGTACTGGGTATTTTTAATATACAGCATATTTTTGGATAGGAAAACTTAATGTTTCTACAAAATTTCAATACCTTCTTTGATATTTTGCTTGAATTCCCTTTTTCTGTGGTAGTCCTCTCTGATGAGGTACAAGATGTTATGACGAAAAGTTTCTCAAAATGAAAAATTGAATATATTTGCAAAATTTTAATGTCCTATGCATACTTTGAGAAAAGTAGCAAAAAATCAAAGTAGGCCTAAGACATTAAATTTTGCCATACGTGCTCAATTTTTTGTTCTGAGAAACTTCTCCTAATAACATTTTTTTGCTATGTCATACAGAAACACTTCACTAGCGAATAAGCAAAAAAATTATGCATAAGCCATCTTTCAGTTTTTTATTGTGACAAACTTTTCTTAATAGCCTCTCTCACGTAGAAATGCCAAATAGTACTTTACTGGTGAAAAATATTTATAATCTTCTGAATATCCAAGGCTTACTAGATTCTACTACGAATTTGAAATCATAGCAGATTCTGTTTCACTACATGCAGAGTTAAATTCTAGAAGACTATTTTTCAGTAAATAATTTCTTTAAAAGAAGTTACCAAGAGTAATATACAGTCAGACTTAAAAAAAGGGCAGTGGTTGAATATGACATAACGAAAGAGAGAAGAAATACATTTATAGCATTTGTAGTGGTCATATAATACTTGTAAATTAATATCATAGCCAACTATTTTTTTATCAAAAAAACATACCTTAATCAAATATAAAACGCCCTTATTCGTAGAAATGTCTACGACGTCATTGGAAAGTAGGAGAAATTATCTGTTTTTAGACAACGACCAACTACGATTCATATTTGAGAAATATGGATTTGCTTCAGAGTTTAGTAACCGTAAAATAATATCCTCGTTAGATTCTTAGTTGAAGAGTTCCCAGAAAACAGTTTTCACTTTAATTCTAATCTAATTCATTTACAGAGTGTCTACTGCTCCTTGAATCCCTTGAAAACCTTGAAAAATCTACTTGAAATACTTGAAATCTCCTTGAATCGAACTAACGATCCTTGAACAAATTTTTCGCAATAATTTTATTTCATTACAAATTGACATAATGAGATTTAAAATGGATTGCCATAATATAATATTGTGTATTTGTAAAAAAATAAAAGAGAAATGTCCTTTAGCTTATAAATTCGTAAGAGGAGCAAGTTCTCTTTTCTTTCTCCTTATGTTATGTTGAATCCGAAAATTGCTAAAATTCGGATTCAACTGGCTTTAGAAGTGTTAGTCGAGCATAACCACTTTGGTGACTTATTGCTGAAGAAATTGAAAAGGATTACCTTAAATTTATAGAAAATGACGCTGTAAAAAAAGAATTATTAAAGTTTGATGAGAAAAAACATCAGCTAGATGATTTTTTTATGAAACTGTGTGTTGAGCAAAAAATATCTGCGAATTTTGTCGAATTTATAAAACGAATATTAGTATTTTTTCATGGAAATGCTGCTGTAGAACGCAGTTTTTCTTTCAACAAAGAATTCCTAGTTGAGAATCTACAAGAACAAAGTTTTATATCTCAAAGATCTGTACATGATTTTATTATCGTTAATAATAACGGTGATGCAAAAAATATTAAAATAACTAAACCAATGATTGCTGCTTTTAAATCCTCTTCTGCAAATCGAAAACAAGCTTTACGAGACAAAAGAGAAAATGAAAGTGAAGAAAAAAAGAAAAAGAAAATTTGTTGAAGAAGCAGCATATTTAAAATTGAGAAAAAATAATTAGAAATGATTAATAAGTGAAAATCAGAAAAACGTAGTACAATATAACCAAAAAATTAAAGAGTTAGATAAACAATTAAAAAAATGATTCTTATTTTAGAAATTACTTAAATATTTTAATTTTGTTTAATTTTTATAGTTCTCAAAACCAATTTAATATAATTTTGTAACGATTATTGTAATAAATTTTTTATTTTAGATATTGTATTGTTATTTTTGTTTAATAAATATAATTAAATTCCTTCAATATAATATAATTTCAATGTATGTTGTAAGTGTGAAAATTATGATGATCAATTTTACTTTAATATTCCATATATACGTCATATATTTTATCTTTATAATTATGAAGTTGTACAATCTTATTCTATCTTAATGCGATACTTAATAATCGCTCGTATGCGTTCGAGTTTAAATTTTTAAAGAGAATCAGAGAGATGGTCAGATAGATGTTTAATTTTTTTTATCTGTCGTGAACGCGGAGCGCACCTTCATCTTCAAGTTAATAACTATATTTTCAGTAAAGAAAATGAAAAATAAAAATTTCGAGTAAATTAGCTTAGCAATTCGATTAGCGTCGATTAGCTTTTACAAAGCTTTTACAAAGATAAAAGTGTTTACCCTAGAAAAATTTACCTCCTTGAATATGAATTAAAATCAACCCTTGAACACCTTGAAAACTCCTTGAATCCGAAAAATTTAGTAGACACTGCATTTAACAGCAGATCATAAATAAATAGTCAAAAATGTAACAAGATTAGCATGGCTCTGTAATTCGAAAACAAATGATGATATCAAATATATGTCAATTGAGTTTTCCTTGAAAATTTATTTGTTAAATACGCGTTGTTAGTTTTTTTTATCTATTTTTAGTAGAGTCTGAAATTTAGGTTGAAATCAAATAAACAGTTCCTCCTTTCGTCGGGAAATGTTGGTAATTTTGCGTTTTTACGAGCATATAAAGTGTGTATCAAGTTATGAATTGGGTGGTACCATGATTGGGAATTTTAAAAACAACTTTTATTTCTCAATTTAATTGACAAAACTACTGGTGCGCGATACAAACTATTTTAAGTATTATAGACCGACTCAAATAAGTATGTCTCTGAAACACGGAACGCTCCTATCCCAAATTGCTGCACCTACGTCTTATTCCTTCTGGCCGAATGGGTTCTTTCTCAATCTCGCGCAGCTCATCCTGAGTTAGAAACGTTAGTACTTATTTTTGTCGGTCTAATATATTATTATATCCTTTATATGCCAAATAAGTCTCACCAAGAACTTGTAACATTTTTACTAATGTTTCAATTTTAGCAATTTTGCTGTTCATATCAGGGCCAAATGTTTTGGTTTACTATAAAAACGGAACACAAAAGCTAACGGCGTGCCATCTACGGCTACAGTTGTTAACCCCTTTCTAAGGCGGCGCGGCAGAAAATTGATGTAATTTTAAAATTAGGAATTTTAAACGCCTCTAGAGCTAATAAAATGGCTAAAACATTTTGTCTTTGTAAAAAATTCTATTTTGTGTAAACGGCGTCCTTAAGTAGGAAACGATTCCAGAAGTTCTCAATAAATTGTAACAATTTTGATTATACATATACAATATACACAACGTTGGTATTTTCCGAAATATTTTCCTAATCACTGAATATACAGGGTGTTTATTAATTGAATGCCGATACTTAAGGGTGTGAATCCTTGGGTCATTTTAAGAAGAAAAATTAATATCAACATATGTCCTAAACCTCTTAATTTTTGAGCTACAGGGTGTTACAGTTTTAAGAAAAATTTACTTTTTTATTATAATTTTCTTATCACTCCAGACATTTTTATGAAATTTTGTACACACCTATTAATCATTAAGGAGCATTGTTTGATGTAAAAAATGTTTTTAAATCTTTGCCAATGACGTCCGTACGAGGTTTGAACTAAACATTTTTGAAGAAAAAAAATGGTACGCCACTGCTTTTTCTAAAAACTAAAATTATTTTTAAAATCTCTATTTATTTTACAGCAAATTCGGTCCCTAGACTTACTCTCGTACGACGCACCATTTGCACGTAAAAAAATGTAAGCCAAAAAAAGTTTTTCCCCAAGTTCATTGAGACTGCTTTTGATATTTTGTTGCCATTTTGTAGACACCCACCATGCGTGGAAACACTTTTTGGTATATCCTCCTGGCTTCGTATGCATTTCCGTCGGCAACCCCATAAGTAATATGCATGTCAGCTAATTCACCGATTGTAAAATTTACCATTTTTTATGAGATTTTACCTCCTACTCTAATCATTTTGTAATATTGAAAAGTCAATGTCAACTTTATTGCGAAAAGAAGCGTCAAAAATTATGACACTTTACCCAGCCTACTAATTTTTATTTCATTTGCTTTAAGGGGCATTTAATCATTTAATATTATGCCTACGTGAACGTCATTTGTGGAAGTAGAAAATTAATTTTTGACCCACAAAAAGTGTTTCCACTCATGGTGGGTGTCTATAAAATGGCAACAAAATATCAAAAGCAGTCTCAATGAACTTGGGGAAAAAACTTTTTTTGGTTTTCATTTTTTACGTGCAAATGGTGCGTCGTGCGAGAGTGAGTCTAGGGACCAAATTTGCTGTAAGGTAAATGGAGATTTAATAAAGGAGTAAATGGAGTAAATGGAGAGATTTTTTGCTGTAAGTAAATGGAGATAAAAATAATTTTAGTTTTTAGAAAAAGCAGTGGCGTACCATTTTTTCTTCAAAAATGTTTAGTTCAAACCTCGTACGGACGTCATTGGCAAAGATTTTAAAACATTTTTTATATCAATCAATGCTCCTTAATGATTAATAGGTGTGTACAAAATTAAATAAGTAAATTTTTTCTTAAAACTGTAACACCATGTAGCTCAAAAATTAAGAGGTTTAGGACATATGTTGATATTAAGTTTTCTTCTTAAAATGACCCAAAGATTCACACCCTTAAGTATCGGCAATCAATTAATAACACCCTGTATTGAGCAAAAACTTACCGCTGTTGGGTCCCAACATGGTGACGATACTCGTTGGGGTGGGTGGCATGTTGTTGTACCCCTGCTGGGTCACGGGACTGGAAGAATGCTGCACCGTATTGTCGTTCCCATCCTTGTACTCGTTCATCTCCGTCTGCTGGGGCGGCGGCAGGCTCTGGAGGGTGTTGGAAGACAAGTTGGTGATGGGCGAAGTGCTAGGCTGCACGTTGGAAGTAAGAGAGGTCGTGGGTGTCATGTTCTGGGAGAGCGGCATCAAGTTGGACGTGGAGTAGATGGGGTGAGCCGTGTAGGGGTTGTGGGGGAGGGAGTGCTCCCATTTTACGTCGGATATCGGGAGGTTTGGGGAAGTGGAGTGGCCGTGGCTTGGATACAGTTCCGTCACTGAAAAAAAGTTGTATTAAATGAGGATACGTTAAAAACTCTGTTCCTGTTTTTACGAAGCAGAAAATTTAAAAAATTGGAAAAATCAGAAAAATTTAAGAAATTCCGAATAGGCTTAAAATAAAATGTTTCAGCATAAAAGCAAACTGAAAGCTCAGAAAAAAAAACATTATGTAATTTGCAAATTTACTTAAATGAAGGTCTTCCGATTTTCAGATTCCATGTTTCAAAGTAAAATGCTCTTGGTCGTTCTGAACAATCTGTATTAGGTTCTTCTAAAAGTGGAAATGTTCTGATTTTGTAATTAAAATAATTTCTAACTAGCACTAGTTCGCCGTGTATTGCATTAATTAAAAACAGCAGTGTCACAGTTAAATAGAATTTTTTTATCCTACATTCCTTGAAAAAAATTTTTGAAGTCGGCCAAAAAATAAAGAAGTTACAGGCTTGTATTACATTTCGCGACATCATGGAGTGCTCGCCTGAAGATGTATCGATTTTGATGAAACTTAGTGGTAAGACGTTTTAAGGGATGCTGAATGAGAATACATAATCTGTTTTTTGAAAAAAAAAAATCGCTAATACCAATCAGCTGTTTTGATGTCAAGAAAACGCATCCTAGTTGGCCGTGAATTGCATTAATAAAAACAGCAATATCACAGTAGATAGGGTTTTTTTTAGCCCACATTCCATAATAAAATTTTTTGAAATCGACCAAAAAATAAAGAAGTTACAGGTTTGTATCACATTTAAGCTCTGTATGTTGGCACTCTTTATATGCTAATTTTAAAAAAGTTAAATTTTTCAGAATTTTTCCGTTTTTCCTGGGAAAAACCTGTTTGTTTCTGACACCCAATTATTTCGTAAATTTTGTTCTTCAAGTCGTAACTTCGTCGTTTTGAAAAGAAACTTCTAAGAATAAAACTATGCACAATATTTTCATACCTTCAATAAACCTATAATTTCAAATAAAAAATAACCTATATTTCTCAAGAGCCTCCAATTATTACAAAAGTCGATAGGTAGTATATTTTGAAGTTGGTTTTCTTCTTCCAAAAAGTTGCATTTTTAGTAAGTCTTATCTACACAGCTTTATGACATTTTATTTAGATAACACTGCCACACACACAAAAAAGTTGTCTGTATTTTTCATGCGACATATCTTATCCGTAGTATTTTTGCCTCCTGATCACGAATCCGGTGTCAGAATTGAGCTATCACGTCACAGGAATTTGCTAACCTCATTCAAAGAACAGGACAAAAATAGCAAAAATTCACGAAAAAGTGCTAGGAAAAATACAAAAATCATTTTTTTTCCATATTTAAATGTTCATTTATATAGCTAAGACTCTGCCGAATGTGAATCCGTGGTCAGAATTGATGGTTCTGTTTCCAACACCAAAAAAACGGGTCAGTTAAGGTCAAATATCACGAATTTTCAAAAAATAATAGATTCGCGCCAAATTTGGTAAACGGGGGTGTTTGGGGTCGCTGATCACGGATTCGAGGTCAATTTTGCAAAATTTAAGATGGCGGTTCCAAGATGGCCGACCAAATTTTCAAAAAATAACAGATTCGCGCCAAATTGGTATACGGGGGTTTTCGTGGTCGCTGATCAGAATTGCGAAATTCATTTTGTAATATATCTTGTTCTTTTTTCTGTAAAAGATCTATTGACGGGTTTTCTGCCTAATCTCAGGTAATAAAGTACATAGGTAATTTATTAAAATTTTAAAAACTAATTTTGTAAATCTGATTTCGGATTCCTAATTAGTGACCCCGAAAATCCCCGTATACCAAATTTGGCGCTAATATGTTATTTTTTGAAAATTTGGTCGGCCGCCATTTTCGATTTTGCAAAATTGACCTTGGATCCATGATCAGCGACGCCGAAAACCTCCGTTCACCAAATTTGGCGCGAATCTATTTTGAAAATTCGTAATATCTGATCTTAATTGACCCGTTTTTTTGGGGTTAGAAAAAATAACCATCAATTCCGATCGCGGATTCACGTTCGGCGGAGTCTTAATCATATAAATGAACATTTGAATACAGAAAAAAAAATTGTATTTTTCCTAGCACTTTTTCTTGAATTTTTTCTATTTTTGACCTGTTTTTTGAGGTTAGGAAATTCCTGTGATGTGATAGCTCAATTCTAACACCGGATTCGTGATCAGGAGGCAAAAATACTACGGGTAACATGTGTCGCATAAAAAGTACAGAAAAACTTTTTTTGTGTGTGGTTGTGTAATTTTCCTTAGCTCTTTATAAGCAAAACTTTTGGGGTTTCGCGCTCAAGCCACTTTATACTGACGGTGTAAATATTTGTTTAACATTCCCAGTACATAAAAAAGCTAATATCCAACAAAAGAAGGAAAACTTACAACCTAAAGAAAATTGGGGTAAAAATTGTGCAAACGAATGTTTACGATTTGTATATAAAAAAGAATATATGTTTAAAAACATTATTTCTGTGTCATCTGTGTTTAAAAAATATTCTTGTACAATATTTCGTTTAACCTCCTATATTGTCACTAGTTGTCATTAACTTATATTTGAAGACAGGTATGTAGGTACAGAGAAAAACTAAGTCCCTAATATAAACCTTGAGATACCCTGGTGTATAGGAAAATTAGATAATTAATGTTATAAGTTAACCGAAGCATAAATTGATTTCTACGGTTACGTTTTTCTGTACATTATATAAAAAACACTTAACTTGACCTAACCTAACTTTGTTAGATAGATACCAGTATTAAAAAAATATGTTATCCTGACCTAACCTAACCGTACAGAAATCTATCTATATAAAGTTAGGTTAGATCAGGTTAGTGGACATTTTGAACAATTTATAGTCTTAAGATTTGTTAATTTGGTTAATAAAGTTTACACATCATTTTTATTTATCGGGCTACATTGGTTGAAATATGAAATTATGTTTTTTAAAATGCTTGTAACTTCTAAACAGAAACGAATCGCACGTATGTTCATATAAGAAAAAATGTTTGAAATTAACCCAACAACCATCTGTCAAAGTTTGGCATAGACCATGTAGAACACCCTGCATATCGGTAATATGTACATATATAAAAAACTTAATCCAACTTTCTATAGAAATTTATCTCAACAATCATTGAGGTAACTAATTCAGGTACATTATACTGATGGTTACTTAATATACATGACGAAACATATAATTAACTTGGAAATACTGAAAAATTTATTTAACAACACCTGTTACCTTGCCTATATTGCCTATAACATTTTTTTGCACACGCCCCAAAAGTATTGCTAGTAGAGATGTTTTAAAATCTTATGAGCTTTGACCTTCATATGCGCAGAAACATAATTCCGACCGTCGCCTAAATTATTCTACGTCCTAAAAACATTACACCTATTATTCACAGTCTCTCTCGAGCTCTAGCGTAAACAAGCCTTTGATCCGATTACAAATATCATAATAAAATGCCCTATTCTTTATTATTTTAATTAAAACAATAAAAATATATATAACGAACGTTCGCCAGTTGACTTTATTGATGCCCGAGCGCCTTAGTTCATTTCTAGTTGTAATGAGGCACGTGTTCTAATTCTGAGTCAATGTTTTCACAACGTGCTTATTAGAAGAATTATGGGGATACGCCACGCCTTTCGCGCATTTCGCGGCTCATGAGATATTAAAAGATCTCTAAGTATAAGTGAATTGTTTTTCAAATTTATTTGAATCAAAGTCGTAATTGCAATATTTTGCATGTAAATATTCCTTGAAACAATTTCTCAAAGAAATTTAAACATCCCGCCGCACCCACAGACCACAGAACAGAAAAGAATTTACTCCTTTTTAATATGGTTGACTTGTTTAAGCTCATACTTTTTTATTCCCTTAAAACGTATATTATAGCAACGTTTGTATCCTGATTTGTATGATGCTGTGGTTCAACTGTAATTTTTCATTTTTCTTTGTTTATTACCTGTCTAATTTTAATTCAACTTGTACATGCATTTTGTACCAAACCTAATATAAAAACCAACATTAAGTTGTTGTTTCAAATAAGTGAAATGTAAACTACTTTTATAGAGTGCCATTTCTTTCAGCTTAACTCAAAAACATAGTGCATATTGTCTAAATCATCAAAAACAATTATTCAGGTTTTTTAAATTGAGTTGAAACAGCAACTTACCTGTCAGTTATTTGAAAAAAAAATGTCATCCGATATGGAAAGCCTACTAATTAATTTGTTGCGCTAATGTCTTGCATTTTACTCCCACTGATAATGTAAAAGCGGTTTCTTTTGTATATAAAACTCGGATATTTAGAAAAATTATACAAGGTACCGAAATTTATAATTTTTTGTTGAGAAAATAAAATCGTCTCCCCATATCTACGCTACTGATTATTATTTTTCGACAATGCCACTAAAGTATATCCCGAAACGACTTGCACTATACCAGCAAATTTCAAGTTTTTATTTAAAACCATTTTTGAATTATTAAGAAATTTCAAATTTTACTTTGGAATTTTACACGGCCGTACTTACGTAAATGGGCCCAACTGATCAAAATTTTATTAAGAAAATATTCATATTTTTCCATGATTATTACTGTAGTATGTTTTGTGACATAAATTACGAACCAATTATTTGAAAAATTACACAGGACCACAAAAAAAAATGAGTGGAGGGTTCCTTGAACCAGACCAAGGTGTTTATATGTTATTTGGGTCCCTGAAACCGAAGCCTGTCTTGTCCCATCACGTCAACGTTTTTTTCTAACCTCAAACCCAACAATATCAACCCTTAAACCATATAACGCTATACTTTCATAACTCAATAACCTTGAGATCGATAACCTATAACTCTAAAACCCATAACCTGAAAATCTATAACCTCAAAACTCATAAATCTCAAATCCCAATAAACTGCAAACACAAAATGAGCAAAAATAAAAACAAAAAACTCAAACCTAAATCTCGGAGAGTTTTAACTTCATAATTCTACACCTCCATCACTTCATAACCTGATAATTCATAAACTCCATAACCCTGATGTGTAACATAAGAAAATTGCATGTTACAATATAATATAGGGTTATGAGGTTTTGGATTACTGGGGTTATAGGCTGTTGGGGTTATAGGGTTATGGGACTTCAGGGTTAAAGGACTTCAGAGTTATGGGGTTTATGGTTATGAAGTGATGGATGTTATAGAATTATAAAATTAAAACTCTCCGATATTGAGGTTTCAGTTTTGCGTGTAAGTTTTTTTGTTTTTTGCTCATTTTGTGTTTGAAATTTATTGGGTTTTGAGGTTATAGATTTTCAGGTTATGCGTTTTAGAGTTATGGGTTATCGATCTCAAGGTTTTAAGTGTTGATATTGTTGGGTTTCATAGTTTCAAACTGTTTTTTGACGTTAGAAAAAAACGCTAACGTGATGGGGCAAAACAGGTTTCGGATTCGGTTTCAGTGACCCAAAAAACATATGATCTACTTGGTCTGGTTCAAGGAATTCTCCACTAATTTTTTTTGTGGTCCTTTGTTATTACCGAATTTATGCAACAACAAATATTGTTCATTCCAAAACTGGGCTATTTTTTGTCGAATATGGCTTTATATAGGCATTTCTAGATAGCGCTATAGAATGACTCAACTCACTTTGATTGGAACCAGCAGCCGGTGCGCCGGTGGCGAACCCACCTTCGTTGATTCCCTGGCCCAGAGTTGATGCGTAGGGAGTCGTGGGGGCGCTGTACGGCCCCCCGACCACACCCAAAGGTGTGTACGAGGAAGACGTCGACGACAGCTGCTTTCTCAGCCTAGCCCTCCTGTTGCTGAACCACACCTGGATCCTGGCCTCGGTTAATTTGGTCCTCTGGGCCAGCTCCTCTCTGGTGTAGATGTCCGGGTACTGGGTCCGCTCGAAGGCCTTCTCCAGCTCGTCCAGCTGGTGGGCGGTGAAGGTGGTGCGGGAACGGCGCTGTTTGCGCTTGAGGGGGATGCCCGGTTCGCTGTCGCAGTCGGAACCGCCCTCGTTGTCGCTAGATTTGTCTGCAAGAAGAAGAAGTAGAGGATTAGATTGAAAGTTTTCCTTTGCTGTGAGGTAAAAAAATCGACAAAATTATCTCTACAGTCTGACTATGTCTATCACTATGTTTTCGGGGTCGCTTAATTCCTTCTTGTCAGGATTTTTCATAACCTCAAAAAATAGGTCCAAAAACGCAATAAATCCTCTATCCATTGACCACTCAATCCTAATAACTTCGTAACCCCTTAATCCGTTAAATCCTTAACCTCATAACCTCAAAATTACATAACCCCAAAACCCCTTATGGGCCTATTTCTTGAGGTTATGAAAAATCCTGACGTGATGGGGTTAAACGGACCACGAATTTGGATTCAGCGACCCCGAAAACATATGATAGTCATAGTCAGACTCCAGGGGTAATTTAAAGTGCGACAAATTTCAGGGGGTGATTCTACATGAAAAAATAATGGCAGTTTGCTTATAAACGTATGTCCGCAAATGATTCGTTTTCCGAGATACGGGGTGTCAAAGTTTTTCTTAAAAACTGACGATTTAATTTATTGCTATGAAACCGGTCGAGATGTGCAAATGAAATTTGGTGGGTTTTAAGAGGTAGTTATTGCGCATTTATTGACATGCAATTAAGAATTTTATGTTCATCATTGGCGCGCGTACGGGTAATAATCTCAATTTTTTTAAAGAAAAAAATGGTACGCCACTGAGATA